CCTGCTGAAAAACCTAATTTCCTCAACACCAGGCCTCCAGCTCTATCTGGAAAGCTTGCTCTTGGGAACCACCCAATGCCCAAAAAGGAACAGTGCTGGTCCCACACTGGACCAAAGGGTATCACACTGTTTCCCTGCCAGCCATTCTCGTTACCCTACCACCACATCTCCATCATGACCAGAGCCACCCATGTGCACCCTGCAAGCACCAGCAGCTCATCCTCACCTCATTTTCCTCCTCATTGTGCAGGGGCTGGGTGTAAGCATCTGGCTTGCGGATCAGAGGATCCACCAGCACAAGGAAAGCCATGTAGAGCAGCAGTGCCCCCACCACGGACAAGTATATGATGATGATCACCTGCAGGCAAGGACAGCACAGTGGAGAAGGATCAGTGGTGTAGCTGAGCACCATCACAGAGGCCAGGATGTTTGTTCTCTTCCATCATTCTAATTTTGCTCAATAAAGTCTTGCACTTGGGGAAAGGCCAATGAGGTGTACATGCCACCACTGCCTAAACCGTGCTGATCTAGTCCTCACTGTGCCAAGTCAGGACACATGCTGTGTGTGAAAGGACACCAACAAGATGGACTCCCAGTCAGATGTGCTTGGCACTCTCACACATCCTCAGCAAGGAGACTGGGCTCCTCAGTGCCAGGAGCCCTCCTGACTCAGTCACGGTGCCCCAGGCTCTACCGCCACGTACCAGCTGTGACAGGTTTATGTGCCCTCTCTGGGCTCTCCTTCAGGAACCCACCAGCCCAGCAGAGCCTGGTGTGGTGTGGCAGGGAGAAGCCAGCCCTGGGAGCAGCCCCATGTTACCTTGATGGTGGTGGTGCTGCGCTCCTCGTACTTGCACTCACAGAGCAGGCAATAGGCTTCCACGTCATTCCCGGGCACCGGCATCGGCTCCACAACGTGCAGGCAGTTGCTGCCACACAGAGAATCCAAGATCAGCAACAGGACATGTGGAAACCAGCAGGAAACCAACAGGACATGGGGAAACCAGTGCTCTCTGCAAGGGCACTGGGATAATTTTTCTGTGTCCCAGCTTTCCCATCATGCTGATAACACTGACGTGGTTTTACAAGGTCCCCTCACAGCTCAGCAAGCCTGAATTTCTTGGGATAGACTGTCCAAGCACCTTCTGTAGGGATCTGGTCCAGGTGGAAGGGACTGGAGGGCACACCCTACATCTGCTGAGAGCCATGGCTTCAGGAATCATGCTTCCCAGATTCCTGAATCTCTGTTCAAAAAACACCCCTCAATTGGGTTGAACATCACCTGCTTCCTCCGCAAATGCACAGGCAGGGAATTACTTCCTTAGGACCAGCTGGAAACTCTAGAGCATTGGCTTTCATGGACCAACCCCTCAGGCTTCAGCCTGCAACTCACCAGTCCTTCTGTGACACATTCTTGTTGTAGATGTGTCCGCTGATGTTCCGGTACGGGGGACAGATGCACTTGCAGCGAATGTCCTCTGAGCTCTGCAGGAGGAGGTGGCATTAGTGACTGGACACGGGAACACCTGCTGCTGCCCTCAGCACCCAGAGAAGGGAGAAGGCAAAACATTCCCCAGGAGAGAGAGGACTTCACACCACATCTCTTCATAGAATCAGGGAATGGTTTGGGATGGAAGTTCCAACCCTCCTGCCATGGGCAGGGACACCTCCCACTAGGCCAAGATGATCAAAGTCCCATCTAACTTGCCCTTGAACACTTTTCTTCCTGTGCTGCTTCTTTCACATCAATACCTTCTGCTCCAGACACCAGGTACTTTTCAAACCCATTTTAAGATGCAGACTCCAAAGCACAACAGCAGAAGGCAGGGCAGAGGCCACTGTCACGTGCACTCACAGCCCTACACATAATAAACACCCATCTGCTCTAGCACGCCTTCTTTTTGTGAACTCCTGCAGAAGAGCAGTTGCTTCTCTGTTGTACCACAGCATGGTTCAGCGCTTGTGTCTGAAGCTGTTCACTCACCTTGCTGGCTTGTGCTGGAGGAGAAAGGATGCAGCACAGCAGAGCCAGCAGCAGCAGGGAGCTGGCACACGGCCAGGTGCACTGGGCAGACATCATGGGAGTCTGAGGAAAGAAAAGTTCGCACCCAGGATAGAGGATCTCAGCTGAACGCAGCCAGAACAAGCTCATCTGAGCTCTCTTTTTTTAGCAAACTTGCCTCTGTTTTTCCCAGGAAGTAGACATTTATCCCTGAATCAAGGATGATGCCAGTCAGAAACTCCTGGAAGCAATTCACACAGATCCCAAGAAACACTCCTATCAAAAAAACCTTCCACCATCTGCAGCCACACATTGAAGCTGCCACAGTCCCACAAAAATGTTGCTGACTTCCTTACAGTTCAACTTCTGCAACTCCTCATAAGCTCCTGTTACTCTTACTCTTGTGGAGCTCTGCAATGGGTATTTTGCTGCTGACAATCTTCCCCAGTAAAAGATACAGAATCAGGAAAACCACAGAGGTGACCTCAACAAGTCCACAGTGGCCCCATTGCTGAACTGTAGAATAAATGGTAAATCATTCATCTTCTGATACTCAAAGTTTTGATTCTAAAGGGGTTGGCATATTTCCATAGAATCATAGGATGGTTTGGGTCGGAAAAGACCGTAAAGATCATCCAGTCCCAACCCCCTGCATGGGCAGGGACACCTCCCACCAGCCCAGGTTGCTCCAAGCCCCATCCAACCTGCCCTTCAACACTGCCAGGGATGGGGCAGCCACAGCTTGCCTGGGCAACCTGGGCCAGGGTCTCACCACCCCCACAGCAAAGAATTTCTTCCTCGTGTCTAATTCATCCCTTTTTCAATTTGAAACCAATTCCCCCTCATCCCATCCCTCCCTGCCCTTGTCCCAAGCCCCTCCCCAGCTTTCCTGAAGCCCCTTCAAGCACTGGAAGGTGCTCTAAGGTCTCCCTGGAGCCTTCTCTTCTCCAGGCTGAACACCCCAACTCTCCCAGTCTGTCTCCAGAACAGAGCTGCTCCAGCCCTTGGATCATCTCCGTGACTCCTCTGGACTCCTCACGATGCCACCTTGGGGACAGCTCTGCAAAGCCACTTCAGCACAGGGAAGGTAATTTACACCTTCATTAATCAGCTCCATCTGGCTCACATAATCCCACATCCAACTCCAGGTACTTATACTCTATTACTTAACACAATTCCATTATTATTTACATCACTGGAATATTCTATCATTCACTTCATCTTATGTCAACACTCTAAACATTAATGGAATCAAGTGTTAATGGATTTTATGGATTGTAAACACCAAGTTCCTCTATAAGCCAAACACCAGCCACTTCTAACAAGCTGACCTGCCAAAATCCATCAAAATGCATTCCAGCCCTGTCAGCGTGTTGCAGGATTTCTTAACACTTTCCACCCCAGTATAGCAGAAACCTCCTCAAACAATGGTTTTTCCTTTGGAGACAGCCTAGGGAGACACCCTAACATATTAGGGTTTTAGCTGTTGATCATGGTTAATGTCTGACTTGTCTGAGCCATACAGCACACATCCCCCACTGGAAGTGTTTTTGAATTCAAACTACTTGTTTGAATGTTGAACTCCACAATGCAGTGTGTACCTGGAATTTAGTTTTAGCCTAATTCAGATCACGCAACTGAATCCAGATCATGCAAACAGCTTTTAACTGCCATTTTTAATAGAAGCAGAGGAAAATGTGATCCATTAGACCATGTTTACCAGTTAAAACCTAAAAACTTGGAATGACACCTAGACAGAATCCACCCACCCTGCACTGTGAAACACCAGGGGCCACACAGAGGACAACTGGTGTGTAGCTCATTCCAAGGCACAGTGTGTGTTCCAAGAGGCACTTGCACACGTGCCTTAAAGCTGCTTGTTTTCCAGACAACCAGCCAAGCTCACAGCATCCGCCTGTCTAAAAGCATCTGCATCTGGACCAAACCCCCCAGCAGAGCTCTGGGTGAGCAGAGGGACCGACACCTGGTTCTGGCCTCGGAGGTCGTGACCGAGGAGGGTGGAAACCCCGCTCCCCAGGAGGAGACCCCAGCCCAGCCCCGCCCCCAGCACGCGGGACACACCTCACCTTGCACCTCACCTTGCACCTCCCCTTGCACCTCACCTTTCCCATCACCTTCCCCATCACCTGCAGCCCTTCTAAGCCTGAACCGGCTCCGAGCCCTGTCCCACCCCTCCCCGCCCCAACCCTGAGCCGACCCCCGGTTCCCCAGCACC